CAGAGATGCAGGAAGAAGCAAAAGGAGAAGAAGAAGAAGCCCAACGAAAAACATCATAAGAAAACGATTGCGACCACCGCTGCGGGCCGTCGTCTGGGCCTGCCAAATACATTCTAGGACGCCGTGACCTCGAAACCCGGTTGCCTAACTTGTGCGAACGCACCACTCGCAAGACACAAATAACCCTGAGACCCACTAGCGGAGCGGCCCTGAGCGCAGGAACCCAGCCACTCCAATCACCACGCGGATCTGCGCAAACGCCGATGCAAGTCGCGGGCGCAAGGTTCAAGACAGCAGATCACGATCCAACGTCTAGTCTTGAGAAGGGTAATATTGCCTGCGGCGCCGGGCGGAGACTGGAAACCTGAGAGACTCGACTGAGGAGAAAAACTGCGCAACCGATGCTAAAGGACCATGTCACGTGAACCGCCTCCGCCCCCCAGCGCAGTTGTTGTTGCAAAGCCTCCTGACAGGCACATGAGCAATTAAGGCAAGCTAGCGCGGTGCGCGAAACCTCCGCAAAGCTGTCTCCCAGCTGTCTGCTGGGATAATCGCTATATTCCCGCTGCAGAACCGCAAACTTCGCTAACAAGTAGACCAAGAACTCCTTGCGGGGGATGAGACCACCGCCTGGCTTTGAGATCTCTGCTTCACACCTCGCGGCCAGTACAACCAGATTGCCCCGGTTGACAGCGAGGCCGTAGTTGGACCAAGCGGATTCTGTCGTGTTCATGCAGGATCCCGCTTGAGGCGCACATGCCCCGACAGTCAACGTGTCGTCGGCGCTGCGCCTGCCTGGAAGACGTTTGCCCCGCGTCTCTCACTGCAAACATTCTGCCACTGTAGATCGAGCTCACGATGCTCAACGCTTCAGTGCTGCGAGAATCTCATCGGGCCTGATGCTGTCGAGCGCTGGCGTCCACTCGAGCAAGCGCCGGTAGCACGAGCTGTCCATCTCTAGACGCCCAGACTTCTTCCAAGCGCCGCTTCGCTAGCGAGATGGCGTCAGCTGTGCCGCGTCTCGACTTGAAACCGAACTGCGTGCGCCAGATGCGCTGCTCGTCACCGGCCTGCTTCAAGCGCTCGAGGACGATGTTGGCGAACCCAACCTGCAACAAACAGATCGGGCGCTAATTGTCGCATTTGGAGGTGTCGCCTTTTTTGAAGATGGTGGTGACCAGGGAATCGTGTGACGCATCGGGGACCGCCCCCTCCCGCCAACATTTCTCGCCGAGTTCGAGGGCCCATCTCTGCGCCGGGGAAACAGCCCTGCACGTAGCTTTCCAGAAATCGCCAGGCACCTCGTCCGCGCCGCAAGCTTTGCCCCATCGCATGTGCATGATTGCCGCTGCCACTGCTTCGCTACCGATGAAGGGGTCGTTCATGCGTTTGTGGCGAGGGTGGTCCACTGCACCCGGTTCAAGTACTCGGCCAATGTCTCTGCGCGGCGGCCGGAGCCCATGAGAGCCCGATCCCTTCCCTGTAGCCGTACCCTGTTTCGGAACAAAGTTTTTCCGGAGGCGCTTCAGCTGGCCCCACTGCCCATGTGGCCACGAGGGCGTCGAGCCACGCTGATCTGTCGTTGCGGACGGGGCGTTTGACCTCTGCTTGCAGCCGTCTCTCCTGGTCTACCCTCCGGCCTTGCCTGGCTTTCGCTCTCTGCTAGATCAGGGACAGCGTCTGTCCGGAGATCAAAGGGCGGTTTGGCGAGAGCTGCAGGCGGCGAATGCAATCGCCGGCGGCAGAGTGGAAAGATCGAGTCATGGCCTCACCGAATCAGTTGTGGTCACCAAGTCACACCACACCGCGAGGTTTCCGAGAGCATCGCCGCGTCGAACGCCCGTGCGAATCTCTCACCTGTCGGCCCCTACGATCCACCGGACGATGGAACTGATTCTTGAGCTCCTGGGGAACGTCGATCTCAAGATCAGCAACAACGATGAAATCATGCGGAGCCAGAGCTCCTGCGAACATGGCGAACTTGATGCATCCAAGCGGCGGGAATGAGGACAAACTGAATCTGGCCAGAGTTGCCCGGCGCGGGAGGGTCAGACGGCTGACAGCCCACACTGTAGCAAGATATGTCTATCTGCGGTAGCATCGAAATACGTATTGCCGACGGCGAGCCTGAAGATCAAACACATCTCAATCAAGAGGCTGCGGTTGGATGCCGGATTGTGCTGAGCCCGAGGGTCGCCGGATGTGTGAGGGCCCAGAACTTTCTCTTCCTGCCGAAAACGACGGTGCAGCCGGGCGTTGAAATCGCCGAACACCATGACCGGCCCGTGCCCTGAGATGTGTCGAACAAAGTTCCCCAGATCATAATGGTATTACTGCGGGCCATCGATGCAGGGCCGGGGCAAACATTTGAGCCTAACACGTCGTGCGCAACTCTTCCAATGCTAGAGCCAGGGGGGGATTCGGCACTAGCGTTGCGGGTGCGTCCATGATCCTGGCGCAGGCGTTTGGCTGACGTCTTGTAGTGCCCACTCTTGACGCTGGTGCTGGCAGTGACGTGATGGGTTGCCATCCATCGATTTTATGTCCGCGTCGTATACGTGGCGGCACGGGCAGCCGCGCTTTGGTGCACAGGTGAGGCCATCACACAATGTATCGGTTCATTGATCGGTGGCGGGCGGAATGATCGTTTGCCTTGGCGATAATCGGTCCGACATCGGTTGTGTGCGCCTTCACGTTTGACCGAAAAACACGCTCGGACATCTTCTAAAGGGTTCGAGGTTAGGCGAACTGCGGCGGAAAGCCATGCAACAGGGGTGCATCACGGCCGCGGCCGTACTTAGAGCGGGGACCCGACCAGCAGAGGGAGCCGACAGGCGCAGCAAATCTTCGCGCGCTGCGAGAGGCAACGCCGACGCCAGAGGGTCGATCGGGACTGAAAGCTCTTGGCAGGCCTTAGGTCATGTTGCTGGGAGAAAGGCCCCGCTGTGCGCCGCCGCAGCTGCGAAGCAGGGTCCCGGGCAAAGGGCCGCCCTCCCTCCCCATCCTCCACCACCTCCGTTTCGTTCACCTGTATGACGCCGGACAAAGGCAGGCGTCGCTCCTCTCGGCCACGTACGCCACGGCATGACCCCTCCCAGAGTCCTCCTGGCCAGTTCTTCACCCCCGAGCGAGTTATGATGGTCCAGAAGCCGAAAATACCGAGACACCAAAAACTCGATCGCGACCACTGAGATTATCTTCTTCCCCTCCTCCTCCAGCCCCGGGCGAGGGCGGCGCCGAGGAGAATCTTGGAGTACTGGACACCATCCAGCACCTTCGGGCAGCAGCAGAGAGGTGGACCCTACAGAGGACGGCGAAGGGAGCAAGAGGGCAGAGAGAGAGGGCAGAGAGAGGACGGCCGCACCAGCTGCGGATAATCCATCCAGAAACCGATGTGCGGGAGCATGTTCATACCCGTCTGCCCTGCTGTGTAATACCTCAGGGAGGGTTGGAGAAAGGGCAGATCGGCACGGATGGGTCCGAGCATCACACAACACGAGGACGCAGACCCAACACCCAGGACGAATACAGCTGGGACCCTATGGGAGGGTTCATATGGGCCGCCGCCGCAACCACAGCATCTAGGGCAACAAAAAACATGACCCTCTGGGCACGACCCTGTCTATGGGCAACCACCGCAGACCCAACACGCAGGGCAACTAAGCGTTCCCATCACACAGGGCAACAAAGCTAGGACGCAGTTCCCGTGGACCCTACAAGCAGCAATCGCAACCGAATCATCCGGGGCAAATGAAGCCAGGACCCTGTGAGCAACACCCTTTGGGCAACCATTGCGACCCCAACACCTAAAGAAGGCGCGGACTGAAAGGGTGGCATCCTTTGGGTGATCACTGTGATCCCAAACCGGGGACGTCATGATGTCACCCGTAATGACACAGTTTGTGAACTAGCACGGTTCCAACGCATGGAGGCTCAAACTACACGCCATATCGCAATAGTATACGCTGTGCTCGTGCCACCATGATGTTTACCTCACTTGTCGGACGCTGCGCAGCTGCATTGGAAGTCCACGCCGAGTCGGCAACGTGCTCGCACGGTCTGGGTACTCACGCGTCGAAGCCAACGCGCGGAGACCTGATGGTTGGCATCGCGGGACGAAGGAAGGGAAGCTCCTTGCGAGGCCATGAGAATGCGAGGAGTGTGCCTGAATTGTGGCGGGTACAGCATGCGACTCCTGCCTCTCAGGCCGTCGGTGGAGCTTCCTGTAGGGCAAGGAAACGTGCGCAGAGATTGCCGAAATGGAAGCGGGCACCGCAGGTAAACCCTGCGAATGGCGCCCTCTGTGGAGCTCCATGCAGAGCAACAAAACGTGTGAGAGGCGTGCCGAGATGGAAGAAGGTGCCGCATGCAAACCCTGCCACTTGGGCCTTCGGTGGAATTCCATATGGGGCCGCGAATCGTGCGAGGAGACTGCCAACACGAACCCGCATGCGAACAGAATCCCACCAGCCCTTTGGGCGTGAGTGGTTTAGGGAGCTCTCGCTGTCCTCAACCCCCCTTCTTCCCCTTCGGGGAGGGGTTTACCCCTCCCCCTACCCCCTCCCCCTGGACCTGGAGAGGGAGTTCCGAGCGTCGTCAGGGTTTTTTGTTTCGACGCCTGGGAGGGCCAAAAAACGACGACCCTCACGAGGATTCTGGCCCCGAGGGGGGGGAGGGGGGGGGCAGTTTGGTGCCTCAGCTCGTCTTTGAAGCAAAAGTCATTGATGTTACTACGGTTTGGGCCTCATTTTGGCCTTCTGAAGGGGGCCGCGCTCATCTTCCGTCATAGCAAAATCATTGATTTCACGTTGGTTTTGGGCTCATTTTGTCCTTCTCAGGGGGCAGCCCTCATTTGCGCTTCTGAGGAGGTCGCAAGAGGCCCCAAGATGGCCCCAAGAGGCCCCCAGGAGGCACCCAAGAGGTCTCCAAGAGGCCCCCCATAAGCACCCAAACGGCCCCAAGAGGCCTCCAAGACGCCCCCAAGAGGCCCCCAAGAGGCTTCTTGTACAGAGAGCGCCAATACACAACTTTGAAAGGCCACCCACCCGCCCCGCCCACCGCCCCTCTAAGGCGGAGGGCGAAGCAAAGAGCGAGGGTAGTAGGGGACAGGCGGTAAAAAGGGCCGAAAGGCAGCAGCATGCAACAGACGATGGAGCTGGTTAATTTCAGAGGCAACGAGTTGACCACAGTCACATGTCTGCTCATCTTTGCCGTGTCAAATGCACGGCGCTGCAAAGCCAAACCACGGTCAAGAAACCCATGGCCGCGGTGAATTATTCGGCCACTGCACACCACCAGAATTCTGGAAGTGGAGAAACTGGGGCGGGCGAGGCGGGCCCGAAACAGCTATGGCCATGCTGTTGCCTGCATAACAGTACACTCCTTGACGCATACAAGAACAATCATTCACTACTTTCATATGTCCATCTTGCACAGAGAGCGCCAATACACAACTTTGAAAGGCCACCCACCCGCCCCGCCCACCGCCCCTCTAAGGCGGAGGGCGAAGCAGAGAGCGAGGGTAGTAGGGGACAGGCGGTAAAAAGGGCCGAAAGGCAGCAGCATGCAACAGACGATGGAGCTGGTTCATTTCAGAGGCAACGAGTTGACCACAGTCACATGTCTGCTCATCTTTGCCGTGTCAAATGCACGGCGCTGCAAAGCCAAACCACGGTCAAGAAACCCATGGCCGCGGTGAATTATTCGGCCACTGCACACCACCAGAATTCTGGAAGTGGAGAAACTGAATTATATCCCTGAGCTGCAGCACCAATTGAGGGCCAACTCCCGCTCGCGATCCACCCTCTCGGTGAAGCAGACAAGCCGAAAAAATGAGCCTCCCCCTGCATGATGTGCTGCACAAAGCTCAGGGCCGACTCCCGCTCGCGAAACGAAACCAATCCCACTGCCTCAAGATCACGCGCGCCAGACGGTACCACCAAGGCGGCGAGACACCTGGGAGCCGCAGTACTTCATCTTTTGCGAGAGGCCGACGGACGACATCAGCGTCTACTGCGCCCAGGATTGCGCCGTTAACCCGAGTAGTGATCCGCTCGAGCTCCTGGCCGGGGTCCGCGCCCGTCACCACCCACAAGGGATTCGACCAGCGGACCGTGAAGTCCAGGGCGGCGTAGTACACGCGCAAGGCCAGGTAGGACTCATCCACCAGCATGATCTCCCAGTCCCATATGAAGAAACGGCTTGAAAAGTTGAATCTGGCAGTGAGACGCGAGGCCGACGGAGCTCGCGGTGAAATTGCACCGACAGCTGCCCACACCTCGTCAGAGAGCTCAGACGGGACAGCCTGCAGGGTGCGCGCCAACTCACTTGAATCGGGGTCGCCGCGCCTGTCGGGAATGGACGAGTCGACCACGTACCTGCCGCCTGTCACGTCAAGCGTACAATCTACTAAATCCACTCCGCTCCAAGCTTCGCCCACCAGACCCATTGAGTTGCGCGCCAGCGATAGCGCAACATTGCTGACCGCCAGCGTCAGGTTCTTGGCTGCCAGGGCGACTGTGCCTCCTGCGTCCGCGACGTCCTCGACAAGGCTGACTGCCGCATCAGCGCCGCGTGCCAAGTTGGGGAAAACGTAGGCCGGGCAGACGGCGGCGAGGAAGAAGAGCAGCACCAGGGGCAACCAGCACTGGCCCAGCAAGCTGAAGAACTTGCCGATTCTAACTAACCACGCAAGCCCCTGCAACCTCTTGCCCTTCTTGGCTGGCGGTCCTCTGTAGCCGTGAGCCGCGTCCATGGGCTGGGGCCCCGGTGGAGCCCCCGATCCCGAGGCTGGCGTCCCTGGTGGGGTCGGTAGTGGCGTCGGGGTGCTGGCCCTTGAGGATGCGCTCAGTACTTGCCAACTTCCCGTCGTGCCTGGCGACTCCGGGGACTTCCCGTGCGGGGCGCGGTGCCCCTTGTACTTGACGTCCGGCACCAGCTCTCTCGGCACCCAGCCCCGGCCCTCGACCCACACCGTGCCCTTGGGCCCCATCTGCTGCAAGGTCGAGGGGCGCAGTTCGGTAGTGGAACGAAGACTCGGGGAAGTACTGGACCCAGCCCTTCTTGAGCCACGACAGCTGCGCAGCATAGCCCGAGGTCGTGAGCTGGGTAACTATGCGATTTGCTCCCACGATATCCAGGTATGTGCGAAGACTGCTATCTGCAACCCAGCGAGCTTCACGAACTTCGAGAAAACTCATGCCCTCGGCCCGACTGTCTGAGGCCCATCCCGCATGAGGACTGTGGGGGCCCCATCCAACCTGCAAGCCCAGCAGGCCCTCGATCTGCTTGAGGATCCTCCTGTACGTGGCCAGGGAGTAGGGGAACACCTGGAGGCCTGGTGGGGTGTACCTTCGGGCAACTCTGAGGAGCTCCACAATGTCTTTGTCAGCCTTCCACAGACGGGCCACCTGGGGCCGCTTACTCTTAGTACCAACCTTAGGACACAGTGCGATGCTAACTTCAGCCCCTCCTTTACCTCCTCCAGCATCTGACGAAAATATAATATCCTCCGGGCAGATCCCGAGCAGTTCTGAAGGCCTAAGTCCGGTATGACATTGAAGCACAACGCCCAGCCCAAGACGAGGATGGCCCCGAGAGGACATATGGATCCCCACCAGCTTCCCAGGGAGCTTACCTAGCGGGACGGTGTGGCAACGGTCCGTCGTACGTTGCATCCCGTCGATCACCGCCCTGGTCCACATGAGCTTACCCTTCATCCTTGGGAAGAAGAACTCCACCGATGCAAGAGTGTTCACGAGCTTCGAAACTGTTAAATCACCTCGATCATTTTTGTACTCCACTAATAAATCATCCCATTCATCAGGCCCGCTGGGGTGAAGGCCCCTCTCCAGGGCCCACGTCGAAAACTCCAGCGCTGCGTTGCGATAGCTCTCTAGGGTGCGAGCCTGCACGCGGCGGGCCTGACGGGGGTCAAGCCGACGAGGCCCGCGCCCCCACATGCCGCCGACGACGAGACAACGAATCTGCTGCCTGATGTGCTGTGCCCACCCAGGGTAGGTACATTTTCTGGCCTGATGCCACTGTCAGTGCACAAATCTTGCGAAGAATGAAATTCAGCGCTGGAGCAGAAGACCGCCCCTTCGCAGCCGCCGCCGACAACGGCCCATTGTCCTCCACGCTGCTCATGGCGAAGCCGTGCGCGCCCGGCAAGGAGGCCAGGCCTCGGCACAGCCGTAGTACAGCTCGTCCTTCACCCAGTATGATGTGATCTGGACGACCCCAGCGGCCCCAGGCGAGCTCGCACCACTTATCGGCGTCGATCTGCAAGACCTCCCTGGGTATCCTGGAGACTGGAATCCGCCTCCTCAGCTCGCGGTCCGATCTCTCCAGATGGGCAACAGTGCCATTGAGACGCGACGCCGTATGCCCCGGCCGGGTGCCTGCTGCCAGGAGCGCCTCCGCTTGCTCGTCACTGATATTCGTAGCCACCACTCCGAAACCTCCGCGGTCATGATTGTTGGCGCCCTCTGCATCCGTCGCGAAGACCACGGGAGCAGCAGGGGGGCCCAGCTCGCAGACCATCATTGGGATGAGGGCCCGCATTGCCGCGAACTCTCTGCGAGCTGCTGACCACCACGTGACCACCTGCCCTTGCCTCTTCTCCATCATCTCGAATATGACCGCCGGCACGGACATGAGCTCCCTCCTCAATAGTGCCCCCCACAGCCAAACTCCAACAACTGCACGGAGGATTTCAACATCAATCCAACTCACTTCTAAAAGCCAGCCCATCGCATCGTCCAGCTGAGCAGCCTTCTGCGACGCCAGCCTGAAACGAAGTGGATAAGTGTCCATTTCGTAGCCAACCACTTTATCGCCCGTCTCCACTACGGCCTTCTCATTGACAATAAAACCTTGCTCTTCCCAACTCTCCGCCATCAGCATCATGAGGTCGTGGCTGGCCTGGCGGGCGCCTCCTCCTGGCTTGTCTGCGACAACTCCTATCCCGTCGTCGACGTGAACGTACGCAGCACGTCGACAAGGGCCGAGCCGCACAGCCCCGCCCCTCTGGTAGCGCTCGTTCAGCAAGAAGTAGGCGCCGTCCTCTGACTGCACTGACCACTGTGTGCGGCGGGGCGCCGAGCCAGCCGTTCTCAGCCAGCCTGAAGGCCCCCTGCCCGACCTGAGGACAGACAAAGCCGTACGCACCACCATCCAGGCGATAAACCTGCAGAGTCCTGGAGGATATGTCTGCAGCCTTCGCGTAGCGAAAACCCCTCCATAATCTTTGCCTAGTGACTTCTCATGTGAATGTTGTCCGTCACACCGCACTGCTCCTTCATCAACTCCTACTAAATTTGATCCGAGCATCGTCGGCTTCTGAGTAGGGCCTCCAAACATACATTGGTCGAGGGCGATCAGCTTCGCCCCGTAACGCTCCAGAAGACCGATCACTGCATCAAGGACCCACACACTGGGGTAGGGATCACATCCGGAATCAGCAGGGTGCCCCATAAGAAATGCTCCCCCTCCAAGACAAACCTGCTCGCATAATCCCAAGAAGTTGAAGAGAAGTACGTTCGCTTCCTTCACGCGCTCAGCCTCGTCGGGCGATAAGTCCCCTCGCCCCAGAAGACAATGGCGAAAGCGAGGAGGACGAGGTCCGTTGTCCCTGAAGCGGGCCCTGCTCCACGTAGCACAGGGTGGGCTGCCAATGACCATGTCGATGAGGCCTTCCTCGGCCAGTTCACCCAACAACGCTACTGTCTCAGGGTCCGCCATGCCCCACCTGTGATCTTCTGCTACGTCAACCCCGAAGAAAAAGAGAGGCACCTCATACTCATCCATGAACTGGTCAATGAAGTGCTCGATGTCTCCATGCCCTCGCCGACCAGCGTAGACATAGAGGACAACTACTACCCGGTGCTTCTCTCTCTTCAGGAACCTCACCTTATCACAAAACTCCTGTGCAGTCAGTCCCGACGAGGCCCTCCTTGAGGTCCGCCGCCCCCGCTGACGACGCACCCACTCGACATCCGAAACCTCGGCCTCCAGCGGCAGGGGATCGCGGCCCTTCACGAAGTCCTCATAGAGCTTCGAGTTCCTGACCAGCGCCCGCCCGATGGCCTCCACGTTGATGCTCATCAGGATGCGCACCGCGTGCGACAGGCCCATGGGCAGACGAGTGTAACATGGGCATACAAGGTCCCACTCATTCAACCTGCGCTGGAGGTCGCTGTCCAGGAGGTCCCAGACCAGGTTGGCCTGGATCGCTGGGGTCGCCATCCACTTCCACATCCACTCCGGGGGGGTGACCGAGGAGAACGCGTTGCTTTCGTCGCACCTTGCCAAGAAGACTTCCATGCCAGGAGCGCGGAGGAGAGCAAGCGCACCCCCTCCGCCCAGTCCGTGATCCACGCGAGCCCGCACATCGGACCACAGGTAATTGGTCGGGACAGCCATCACCAACTTGCGGAGGTGCACCCCGTCCTTCTTGGGCACAGCCGAGACACCGTTGATCGCCCTGACGTCGGTCAGCTCCTTGAAGACCCAAAGGTCGCGGGGCAGATCTGGCCGGTGAAGATATCTCATCCACTGCAGCCTGCCCCCTCCAAGAAAAACAGAATTGATCCTCCAGTTCTCGAACATGCACCCAACTCTTGCCCTCCATCTCGATAACGTTCGCCTCGTCACTATAATATTCAGCTTCATCTGCAGGAAGCGCTGACAACAATGGCACAACTTTACTAGTGGTGACTTCATCAATGAGATCTGCTACGAAATCAGCATGTACTTGTCTTTTGTGCACTCGTCGGTAGCCAATCTGATCCATCCCCAGGAGTTGACACGTCGCTTGTACGCCTGTCGTGCCAAAACACCGGCAAACATTCACATGATCCTGGGCGCTCCGCACTGCTCGCCGCTGGATCATGGCCTCGGCACCGTCATCATTCAGGTAGTTCACTTCTGAGCGCCGACTTCGCGTTGACCTCTGTAGAGTTCCCAGGTGAGCCGCATTGAGCGACTCCAAAATATCATTTGCTACCGAACGCACCCGCTGCCGTCGTGCGAGTCGTTGCCGCCCACGCCCTGTCCTCGTGCTCATCCGACCTGGCGGAGGTAAGAGAGGTACTGGAAGTGGAGACCGCCCCGCGTGAACAGCTGCGGCTACCTCCGCGAGGCTGGGGAAGCAAGGAGCGCCCCGACCCAGCCCCGACCCACTCAGCCGTGCCTCGCGCGCCCTCTTGGGCACCCACTGTTTATTTCCCACGATCATGTCCTCATTCTTGTACTGGTACTGCCGCTGCTCTGGAGCATCTCGCACGGCCCGTCCCCGCGGCTGAAGGAGCGGGCCCTTCTCGGGGCGCCACTTGCCCCCGCGGCCCTTGCCCTTCGCGCCCTCGCCGTCCTTGTGGACCTCACGCCTCTTGAGCTCGGATGCCACGCGTTCTGACCTTTGATGCTCCATCTTAGAATGAGTAGTAGCTTCTGATATCAGCCAAGTTGGGGCAATATCGATTCCACTTCCCGGGGCCGCTACCGCCCGAAGGCGGGCGGCCCCTACTTTGTCATGGGTTCTGCTCTCATAGACAAATGCTGAGAGGTGTCGTAGCACAAGCTCGACCATGTCACTCGTGGATAGTATCGTCATGAGCTCTTGGTCTGAGCGACATCGACCCAATTCAAAGTCAATTGTGGATGCAATATTCCAGAGACTTTGCCATACTTCGCCACCTCGGTGGCCTGTGAATTGACGCTCCAACCAGTGTCGCACACTCGATGATCCCGCTGACCTGATATTGCGGTAGATCTCCACGCCAGCCCGTCGGAAGTCTGGAGGTAAAGCGTGCGCCCAAGTGTCCACCTCGAGCCCGCCCTGCGCGGCCGGGCTGCCGAAGCTGCCGCCGAACCCGTCCGACAGGGCGGCACTCTCGAAGCCGTTCAGCATGGGCTCGAGCACCTTGGGGTCCGGGGGGGTCACTGTCGCTTGTCCAAGATAGCCCCGAGCAACTAGGGCAGCCTTCACGGCTGGATCGAGGCGACCCTGGAGCTCTAAGTTGTGCACATCCTTCCAGAAGAGCGTGCCCCACCACGGGTTGCCCGAGGATGTCGCTGCCCAGCGTGTGAGGCTCTCCTTCACGAGCGCCGCACTCT